GAAAGCTTGAGCCTGCCTTCTGGGGAAAGGCTGGGGCTTCTTCCTGAGAGGTTGCAACCTGCCACAGGGTTTTGGGTTTTAGGGTTTGAGGGTTTTTAGGGTTTAGGGTTTTAGGGTTTAGGGTTTTGGAGCTTTTAACTACCAATGAACCTCCAAGTATCCTAGGCAAGCTACAGCTTAAGCTTTGGGAGTTTGTGGGGGTTAAATTTTTTGTACCCCCCCCCAGAATTTGAAAACAACTAAAGTTGCCAGGCTCTACTACTTATTACTTGGGGGATCATGGGACTTAGTAAGTAAGGTATAAGTCCCGTACTTGGGGTTATAAGTGCAGTTACCTTAATTATAACCCTACTCACTAAGTCCCATGACCCTTTAAGTAAGTTTCACAGCTTTAACTGACGGCTTTTCGGGCTCGGGCTCATGGATCTTGGCAAGATCCCTCCGAAAGCTCTCCGTCGTCATCCTCTGCGACGGGTTCCAAGAGTCGGAGGATTTCATCGTCGGCTTCCTCCTGGTCCTCTGCCAGCATCAGCGCCGTCTGCCCGTATCCTGGGTTGCTCTTTAATGCCTTCCTAAAAATTATAACTTTGAGTACCCCTAATATCCAAAAAGGCTAACCCTAAAAGTGATAAAGCTCTAAAGCGACTGTAAAGTTCTACCAAGAATCTATCACACACATCCCTGTCGGCACCGGCCTCCAAAAGCAACCGCAGGACTTGGGGATGTGTTTCGCTCGCAGAACACATGAGCGCCTCGCTTCTTCCATAACCGGGCCAAAACCAGCTCGAACCTTCTAAGACAGACCACACATACATATACATATTATATATATATATATATACATCCGTAGTATATATACATATATATATATATACAATGTGTACACATACGTATCTACACGGCCAAAAAGTCTGAAGATCCCCGAATGGCCATCCAAGGCGCTGTCCAACCGCCCCTGTCACGGACATCCATCTCGGCACGGGCCTCAAGGAGCAATCGGACAACTGAGTCGTGACCTTCAAGCGCTGCCCACATCAGCGCTGTGCTGCCGTCAGCAGCAAGCGCCTCCATCTCGGCGCCGGCCTCCAGTAGCAGCCGGACGACGTCAACGTGCCCATTCCCAGATGCCACCATCAGAGGCGTGTGGTTAGGCTCACCGGTCACAGCATCTGGGTCCATGGGCAGCTGCAGCAGAGACTCAACCTGACTGGTCCAAAAAAAGTTGGGGCCCCACTCCTTGCGATTATCGGTTTAGGGTTTAGGGTTTAGGGTTTAGGGATTTAGGGTTTAGGGTTTAGGGTTTAGGTTGGGTTTTGATATGCATGGAGGTGCACATGAAAGCTCAATGTGTGGCCTCTTGTCAGTACCAAAGTTGCCCTGCCTCGTCCAACATAGCATGTTCGGCAGCTTCACCAAGCCCTGACCGTTGGACGTCACCAGCTTCGGAGAACTCCAAGACCAAGACCTGCAGATACCTTATTTTGGGTCCTTTATAATGAGGCGCCTACTATTTAGGGTACTATATTAAGGTCCCCTATTTTCGGAAACCCCACCTGTAGATGTATCACAGCGTCCGGCGTGACAGCGTCACTCAAAGTCGTGTCCTCGTGAACTGCGTGTCGTTCCATCACGGAAGCCAATGTGACGGCATCATCTAAAGTGTTTTCCTCGTGAAGGAGCCTTTGCCTAAAGCGTGGTGGCAGGCCGTGCTGCTTGTGCAATCGCTGCTTCAAGGCCTTCAGGGCTACTATAATTATAAAAAAGGAGTCCCAATATAGTATAGGTAATCATTTAGACCCTTACATTAGAGTCCTTCAAGGCCTTCACATCACTCAGCTCAGAAACAGGAAGCGTAGCCAAGTCTTCCCCTGAGAGCAGTGTGATGTGCAGCATTGCTGGCCGAGGCACAAAAGACAGATCAGGCTTTGGTGTTGTCAGTGGCTGCTTAAAGGGTCATGGGACTTAGTAAGTAGGGTTATAATTAGGGTAACTATACTTATAACCCCAATTAAGGGACTTGTGAGTATAAGAGGTTTAGGGTTTGGGGTATCAGGCTTGCTTGGAGGTTCATGGGTAGTTCTAAGTAGGGTTATAAGGCCCCTTATATGGGTTATAAGTATAGCTACCCTACTTATAACCCCACTGATAACTACCCATGAACCTCCAAGTGGGCGTGTTGGGCACGTGCTGCATCTACAGTCGAAGAAGTGGCAATCTGCTCGGACATGCCCGGCTTGAGCGAGGCTGTTAGGGGCTTCTGGTGCTAGAGAGGCCTTTCAGAAAAACAGGCCCATGTTAGGGGCGCATGGGTTCAACCTTAGAACTAGGGTGTGCGCATTGGGTTTTGTTGCCATCGACTTGTGACGGTCACGCTTTGACACGCAAACCTGGGACCTTGAAGCCCAAGAAGCTGACTTAAAGGATCATGGGAACTTAGTAAATAGGGTTTAGGGGTTTAGGGGTTTGGGGTTTGGGGTTTAGGGGTGCTTAAAGGATCATGGGACTTAGTAAGTAGGGTTTAGGGGTTTAGGGGTTTAGGGTTTAGGGTTGCTTAAAGGATCATGGGACTGAGTAAGTAAGTACTGTTAAAACTAAGGTAACTATACTTATAACCCCAAGTAAGGGGGGCTTATAGCCCTACTTACTAAGTCCCATGATCCTCCAAGTAGGCTGTTTGCCCATGGAGTTCCAGACTTCTAAGGACTTTAGGAGGGACCCCTAATTGGGACCCTTAGTCCCATTACCTTAAATAACCATTGTATAGTCCTTATAGAGCCAGGTAGTCTCCATATTAACCCCAATAACCTACAAGGGTCCCTATTAAAGGTCCCTCCTAAAGCCCTTAGAAACATGAACCCAAATCCCTAAACCCTACAAGCCCCAAACCCTATAAGCCCTAAACCCTATAAGCCCTAAACCCTACAAGCCCTAAACCCCTAAACCCCTA